ATTTCTTGTTGCAAATTTACAGTGAATTTCATCACCGAAAGTTGCAATTTTAAAACGCTACAAACACGCTCCTTTCCCACCCCTCTCACAGTTACAATGAAATTTACCTCCCAGAATCTGGGAGGCACGTGACCAGCCGCAGCCAGGGTTTCTCCCAGATGACAGAAGGAGAGACCCTGGGAACGAGGTTGCATGTAGCAATCTATCGTAATTGCAACACATATTGTTCCAATTCAGAGGTTCTAATTTATTTGGTATGCCATACTGGTATCTCACAGTTCGTTACTGGTGTTTCAATTTGTTTCACAGTTGTTGTTATGGTCAATTTGAAATTCTACTTCGACCTATTGAGGTGTTTCTTTCTTTGAGCTAGCAAATGCAATCGATTAAATATAAGACCACCTGTTTGTTAACTGCTCAATTTAGGAATCGCACACATTTTAAAACGGTATCTATGTATGATGTAAATGATGTAAATTTGTCGAAAACTAATCGTTTGTTAATCGAAGCATCTCTCGGATTGTTTTTCACTTCAAAAAAGAGTATAAAAAATTCTTACTTTGCACAGCATAACACGTCAGTGGCTAGACATGCAAATAAACATTTTCATCTTTGTTTACGATTTGACTTCCCCAGTCCAATTAATTTTGCAGTAACTATGCAAATACCTCATAAATATGCAATAATATTCAATTATATTCCAATCTACTGTTTATATAAAAGCTATATTTTAATTTGACGTTTACTTGTTTTCCCACGTCTGGTTGGCCCTTTTTTGTCAGTTAAACTGTGATGCAAACTAAAGCAAACATAGGTGTGATTATTTTGAATCATAAAACAAACACACGGTGATATTTGATGAATTTCTGACTTCTGAGCATGTTGCCTGCAATGAGCTGAGTTTTCCCCCATTGAATAAGTTCCGTTTGTCCTGAAAAAAAAAGTGCTATGCTTTCATACAAAAGTTAATTTCGAGGATTTATTTATAAGATGTTGTCACCGGGACTTTTTAATTATGATTATTTAACAAAAATGCGATGAATTATTGGGTTAAATCGCTGCCAAAAATGTCAATTCTCCAAACAGCTGGTGGGGGGCCATGACATATGTTGAAAGATTCGAAGACGCGGGCAGTCAACCCGCATATCAATTGACAAATTACTGAAATAATTTGCGTTTTGAAATTATACCGATAGTTGTTCATTTTGGTGTCAAAAACACGGTTTTTCGTGAGAGGTTTTGTAAAATGATTGGACTACTGTCCTTTGGCAGTGGTTTGTTGTTTATTGGGAGTTTATTTGTTGTGTATTTTCGCTGGTTTAGAAGCGGTTCTCCAGACAAGTTGACAAACGTTTCGTCGAGTTGTGAAAGCGAAGCACCTGAGCAGTATGGCAAACAACACAGCAACAGGAAAACTAACTTGGAAGCAAAAACGAACGGCGGGAAAGCATTTGGACACAAGAACGAAGGAGCACAACTGATACAGAATGAGGAACCCGAAGGAAACGAAAACTTGAGACATCGTTTGTCTGCTAAAAAGTCCACGTCCCAAAATGGACAAGATCCCGAAGGAGAAACCAAAGCAAATTCGACCGAAAGCAACGCTTCAGACGAACTGCTAAATGATAGTGTTGAAACAAGAAAGGAAAACGAAATAGCCTGTGAGAAGGATATAAATTTAGGCGACATTTTGCCAGCCTGTGAAACGAAGGAAGTAAAAAAGCAAGAGCCTGAAATTAAAATAAAAACAAATACACTAAATGTCGAAGTTTCAGATAAAGCTCCTGGAAACAGCAGCATATCGGAGACATTTGAAAATACAGAAGGCAACAAAGAAACAACACAAGTTGTTGAACAAAAAATTTTACAAGAAAATGAAGCAGACAGCGTGAAATATATCAACAATACACAGGAAGAAGCGAATGTAAACAACGCTATCGACTCGGTAAATGAGCCTTTGATCGGACAGTCAAATCCTCTTCAAAAGGCTACGAGGCAAGAGATTTTGATCGAAGAGCCGCTAGCAAAAGTGAGTGAAGCTGTTTCTAGCGAAGCTGCGGTAGAAGTTCAAGAGGAAAGTAGTTTTTCCTTGGAAGGGCGTGAATCGATTGAGGAGCAACGAAATATCACAGGTGATTTATCAAATGATTTGAATTTGGAGGTCATTGCTAATGAGTTTACCAAGCCCCTAGGCGTGGATGAAATTAGTAATTCTCAAGATAAAAGTGCCTGTGATGAGAATTTTGTAGTAGATCATGCTGCTATTGAAGAAAGCGATGATTCTATCAGGGAAAATGCAGAAATTTTAGATGAGAATCAACATGTAAATTTCATGCCAAGTGATGATATATCGGACCCACATGAAGTAAGCCCAGACAATGTTATCGAAATATTTTCAGACAAACTTTCAAAATGTATTATTGATGCCGTGTTGCAAGACACACACTTGCTGTATAGCCAATCAGAGGATGATAGTGACGAGAATCGTAACAAGGAATCAATTTTGAAATTTTCCGACCTACTTGCGGAGTCAATAGTTAGGTCGGTGATCGATTATACAAAAGTAAGCCAAGACCATATTTCCGAACACGACGAACATGACCGTTTGAGCCCAAACGTGGCAGATGTTAGGGATAAAACTAATGAAAATATTAATCAGGATGTCCCTGACGAACCATCACCTACAAACGAGGAAGAGATATTCAGCGCTGATGAAGCGAACGATGATAGCTGTGCTAATAACTTACATGACTATGCCCAAAGATTATCCCAACAAATTTTATGTGATGTATTAGACTTGAATGGGTACTCCACTCGGAGCACATCCACAGACGCTTATGCGTCGCAACTGACCAAAAGTGTGTTATCTAATGCTATAAATGGGGCAAAGTCTCGGATTGGTGATAATAATTCATTAGCAGACTCGGATATGGGAATTGAGAACGCGCTTGATTTGTTTGTTGCGGAAATTGTCGGAAACGCTGTTGAATGCGCAATTTCGAGGGTTGGAAGGGAGACTCGTAGGGATATGGAGGAATGCAATGGGATTGAAGGTGACATTCAAGAACAACAGGGTGAACATGGTGATGATCATGTTGAGAATGATATGGATAGAGATGTTCATTTGGGGACGTACAATGGGCAAGACATCGGGGAACATAGTGAGGACTTTGAGGATAGTGTTGGGAATAACATAGGTAATGAAGGTCATTTAGGGATATCTAATGGGGAAATAGACACTCCAGCTGAACATATAGACCATGAGCCTGGAAGAGTGAATTGTTCAAACACACAACTGGTACAACAAAATGGCAAACTTCAAAGCAAGTGGTTAAGCGAGGATGATTTGGACGAACTATATGATGACGATTTATCTGATGAGGAAGCAGCCGCCCCACATGAATCCTCAAACTCAGTCCAGAATTCTAACGATGATAACAAACCTGCAACAAGTGCAAACCATTTAACAACTCCAAATGAGGAGAAACAGTTTTGGAGGAAAAGCTTGATCGATGATCTTGACGATGAATTGGACTTTGACGATGAGATTGAGACTCCTCAGAGTTCCCTATCGTCAAGTCCGGCAAAATCTGGGAACTTTGAAGATTTAATGGTAGACGGAAGTGGGGAGAGTGATGATGAAGTTTTGGATGCATCCACCAATGTGAAAGTTCAAGCACCCATTGTCAAAGCTACGGATTCGAGTCGATCTCGTTTAAGATCAGGTGAGTAGTGACATAAGCATGGTGCATTGTGGGGGTGGAAACAACACTTATATCATTCTTTCATTATTTTATTCTAGTCGACACTTCACCCATCCTTGTTCTTGACAATGGATCAGCATTTCTGAAAGTTGGTTTCTCTGACCAGGCTTTGCCAAAGGAGATTGTTTCCTCGGTTGTTGGAACACCATTGAGATATTCCCAGGATATTGCAGGCATGGAATACTCGGCTACACCCAGGCCTGGTCTATGGTGATAGTGCAATGGGCAAAGCAGGAGTACTGCACATTGGTAGGTTTGCTGCTGTTTGTATTTT